ATCTATCTATCTATCTATAAAAGATTTCACTATTTAGAGAATGATTATTTTAAAGTGTTGCCTTTGGAGGGTTTAACATGTTGGCTGTTTTTGACAGCTATCATCATTACAGTAACAAATGAGGAGAATGTTCTTGAAAATAAACTAAAAATCTTTTCCCACTCTTATTCTGTGTCTAAAATGTGGTGTATTCTAAAATGTACAACTACAACATAAAAATGACACTTACTTGGTAGTAGGATTTAAGGTGTTTTAACATCTCTTGCAGGGTGGCCCTAGTGTCATTGTTGGCCACAGTGCTACTGGTGTTACCGAAGGTGCCCTTCTTCACTGGTGTAACACTGACGCCAGTCACGCCATCCTGTAGATCTTCCCTCTTCCGCTTCCCCAACTTCTTGCTGTATGTGCTGTCCTGAGTGTAAACAATCGACTCCATCTTAAACTGAGTCCTCAGCATGGACTCTGCTACAATCTCCTTCTCCTTTCTGATGGCTTCAATCATCATCTGAAGGACATAAACATGTGTCAGTAAATTTATAACAGTGTTTAGTCAAACATGTACTGTAGCTATGGGCAATGAAAATGACACCTTGGCTGCTCGCATGAGGTTAGGAAATCCAACAAAGCTGTTTTGTGCCACCTTGAAAAGCTCTTTCTTCACAATTTCTAAAAAAAAAGAAAAAGTCAAAAATACAAGATCAAATAATATCTTCAGTGTATTAGATATTTGGATGCAATCTGAATATGTATGTAAACCTGCAATTATTGCATCATAATAAGACATGCCTGCCACTTCCTTGAGTTTCAGCACAGCTGGCTCTTCCAGCTGTTTGATCTGCTCCTGGACCATGGCCTCAAAGGTCTTGTAGTTGATGAAGCCTGGCAGTTCTCTTCCACGATACTTTCGCTCATACTGAGCCACCTCTTTCTCAATATTCCAGTTGACTGCAATAGGGATACATTTGTGAAACACAAGAAGACTTGGTTAGTAGTGGCCATTACAGCAGCCTGGAGCTAAAGTAAAAATAGGTGGTTGTACAAGTTATCATTTATTTGTTATTCATATTTGAAAATGTAAAATAGAACGCATTTTTCATAGCGAGAAGAAAAATCTGTCTTACTCAATAGTTTTCTTTAAATATTAGGTCACAGTTTTATAGTATGGAAGCCATGGCCAACAAAGACATCAAAAGTGATGTAGTGACAGTTGTTAATGCACTTACATGTTACTCCAGACCGCTCTATCATTTCTTTCCATGCTGCAAACTCTTTCCTGAGTATGGAAAAGATATTGACCCTGACTCCAGATTTGAGTTCCTCTCCTGTGGTGAGGCTGATAGCATCCTGTGTAAATGCTGTCACTCTCTAAAATATAACAGGATCAGATATAAGAAAAGGGCAAATAAGTTTGTTCAGAAGCTGAAATCCCCTTTTGGTCATAAGGTGCAGTGTAAAAAGTGTCAGCTAGTAAACTCACATCAATGAGGAAACCAAGTCTCTCTGATGTGTCAGGTGGGGGTCCATTGCCATATTTGTTCAGCTCTACCTGAGTCTCTATTAGTTTCTTCTCTATCTGCTCTTCCAGTCGAGGCAGAGATTTCTACAAATCACACAGGGATCACACTTTTAACACATGAAGTGGGCAAAGTAGTCTGAACTGAACTGTTAAGGTTAATACTTCACCTGGATATGATGCACCAGTTCAAGAGTGAGTTTTTCTGCCAGTTTAGGAACAGTGGCAAGGCCTTCAGCGTAGAGAATTCTACAGCAAAAGTACAAAGTTACTGAATACACAACCTGTCAAACTGCAAATTACTGTTTGCATAATGACCTAAAAATATTGAACTTACTGGAAATGCACATGATCTTTGAAGAAGGCTTTCTCTCTTTCTATTGCTTTAGTAAGAGAAACCTTCTCTTTGATCTCCTTCTGACCCCTGCACTTGACGATCATGTAGCCCTTCCTCAGGTGGATGACCTCATTGTGGACAGTGTTAACCACGGTCTCCTCTGTCCCTTTGTCCACCAGATCAGGCTTGGTCAAGATACCTGAGAGATAGATAGATAGATAGAGAGAGAGAGAGAGAGAGAGAGAGAGAGATTGTGTGGATATTAGTATATGTGGTCATTGCTCGACAGATAAGGTTGAGACAGAGATCCACTTCCTCCTACAATGTAAACATTAAATAATATAAGAACATTTACCAGGTAAAGCAACAGCAAACAGCATTGAACACATCAGGTGGTGCTGATGTCATTCGGTACCACAATGCTTTTAGTCTTTGTGGCTATGTCATTAACAACAAGCCCCGCCCACACACCTCACCTGCTGTTGTTAAAATGGAATTGTGTGTGTAAAGTTATAAGACTTTATAAAACTTACTGCTAAGTCAACAGAAACACATATAGAGAAAGAGAAACAGAGAGAGGCGGGGAACTAGTACTGGTGTGTACACACACACACACACACACACACTCACTCCCTTGCATTTAAAACATAAATTCTTACTTATTACTCACTTATTTGTGTATAAGTCTACTTTTAAGTTTTTTTCCAACCGTATATTAAGTTATTGTTATTATTTTCGTACTAATTTACTGATTCGCTATTTACCCAAACTCCTCTCTCCATCAGGATCCACTTCCTTTGCCATCTTCAAAGCCTCTGTGGTTGCTATGTCCACGTTGCAAGGAACAACCACCAAGCTGATGGTTTCTTGTTTTGTGATGTACTTCTGGATCAGTCTCTTAATCTGAAAGTATTTAATCAATTCATATCAAGTATATAAAGTTACAAACTGCACAAGAATCAAATCCCCATTGTGTTTGGTGCTGTTCTAATCAAATAATGAACGTATAATACCAAGAGTAAAGATGTATTTCCACACTAACGGCCCCCTGAGGCTGTAATAAGCACAGGCTGTGCTTTGTTATTTGAGTTGCATTAATATACACAGAAAATTTCATGGGAAGTCAGTGATCACTTTCTAAAATATCCTGCCATGAAGTGACCTGTTTATGGTGCTAGGAAACTCAGGATTCATCCATTGAGGACATGACTGTTTGCACCGGATTTCATGACAATCTGTTCAATATTGTCGAGATATTTGAAAAGTACGGAGTTCTACCTGCTCTCCAATGTTCTCTGGCTGTCCCTGTACAGCCACCCTGGCGATGCCGGGCAGGTCAATGAGCGTCAGGTCTGGAACATCAGGAGAGGCGATCTCCAGACTGATGAGGTCATCACTGATCCCTGACCCGGGCCCAGCTATTTTATTCTGAGCTAGAGAGAGAGGACATCATGTATGATGATTGCAAATGGAAGTGCTGATCACTGAAAAGCAAATTAAACTACCTTCAACCTACTTAAATACTTTGCATTTGATAATGACATTTAATAATGTCATTAGTGTACCTTCTCGAATCTTTTTTTCCACATCTGCAGGGTCCTTTATCTCTTCCTCAAGGCCAATGTAGCTTATCTTTCCGTACCACTCCTCTCCTTCTTTCTTTCTCTTCATCTTTAGTTCGAGAGGACATCTTGTCACAATGCCTGAAAAAATTCAAAGTGAAATCCAGTGTGTTTGGGAGAAAAGTTGGATAATTAATAAAATACCTAAACGTCTTAGAGGTGTGTCAGAAGGAACAACTTGAATAAATGTGAAAAAAACTCCCACACATTGTCTCACAGCTGGTACATTTATTATAACATTTAGGAATACATGACTTTCCTCGCATATGATTTTTCATTTAATCATTCAATTTCTTAGGTCAGTCTCTTTAATTTTATACTGTATGTGACCACATAGGTCTACCTATGTGGTCAATAGCAAATTATATAGTCAATAAAATCAGTTAATGAATGGGCCTTAGAATAAATGTAGTCTTTTGCTCTGTGATTGAATGAAATTATTGAATGAACAGGCCACTTTTGTTGATGTTATTTATGTCAACGGTAAAAAATGCTTTGTCTTTACCCTTAACTGAACACTCCCTTTCTCTATTTTTAAATATATAAAAAAATATTAAACTTTCCTCTTTTTCAGGGCCATTTTATGCCCTTATTAGATAGTGTCAGTGGAAAGATGACAGAACCCAAAGGAGAGAGAGATGCAACAAAGTTCCCCAGCTGAACCTTGAACAGGGATGTTGCAGTTTATGGTCAGAATCTTAAACTCTAAGTAGATAACAACCACATAGATACCTGTTGGTAATAATGGAGAAATAGTTACCGTACAATATTATTGTTACCTCATTTCTACATCTCTCAGACTTTTTAGATTTGCAGAGATATTTTAATTATTTGATTATTATATTTATTCACTGGGAGTGACCCTGCAATACAGCACTACAATGAACTGCTGCCAGGGAATAATGTTGTTGCCTACAAGTTGGCCTGGTGCCCTCACCTACACCTGAGAACCTGCTGTAAAACCAGCCAGGCAGGTTTGGACATTTCCATGATTTCCATGATTGAAAATAGAGTATTGTTACGGCCCTGGCCGTATTATTAGTATGTTCTGGTATTGTTTTCGTCTGTTGTGTGTGTTGGTGTTTTTCGTCCCTGTTTCTCTGTAGGAGTGTGCCGCCTGCCAGTTCTTTGACGTCAACCCGTAGGTCCGATCTGACTGGTCCAGGATGTGGGCTCGGCTTGTGTAGTGTCGCATGCTGGTTGGTTCTCCCGGGGAGCCGCAACATCCGCCGGGGTTCAAAACGCCTGTCGACAGAATCCTTAGCAGCAGCATCCTTCTGTCCTCGGTCGTAGAGAGTGTGTTTGTTTGGAGATAGCGTGTTAGTTGGCGAGTGTTGAGTTAGTATTAGATTGTATTTCTTCTATGATTGTGGTTTTAGTGATTATTGTAGGCGGTGAACTGCATTTCTTTGTACTAAAAAAACTTTTCTCTCCTGTTTTTTCCATTGAGGTTACCGGGAGTTAGGTTTAAAGTAACCTGTATTTTGTTTGATTATTCAAATAGAGATGTACAAGAGATATGTGCTTAAGAAGAGTTTTTGATTTGTTGTCTTTGGCCTTGGTTCACCTGAAAGTTTGCTTGTCTTGGGTTCTTCTTAGATAATCCGTGTTTTGTACACCCATCATTGTTAACTTCTGTTAGCAACTTGTCGTATGCGCAATCGGGAAAAGAGAATAAAAATATAAAAACGTTCTCTTCCATCACACTCCTCATCGTGCGCGCTTCATTCCCCCGTCAGACAGGGCGTAACAAGTAAACAATCCGACGCAGAACGCCACTTGAGCATTCTAGCAAAGAAATGATGAAAGGAAGACCAGCACAACCAGCTAGATGCATAGAAGTTTGTAACTGCTCATTTCTGGCCTCTATCTCCAAACCTCTGTATTTAACCTCTAATCGTTTATTCTATCCACCCCACAAATCTACAGTTATTGTTATGTCCATTCTAATGCTTTTCTTTGCACAGAAGTTTGCCCTTTGTGTTTTTGAAAAAAGAGAATAAGGATACGATAGATCGATAGCATACCGAGCTAACCGCGATACCGATAGAATAGGATTAGATAGATCAGATAGACCTACGATAGATACGATAGTTCTGTCACTGACTGTAACTTACCACGTCCCTCCTGGGCAGCAGCCACCCCCTCCGACACGCGCGCCTCCAAACTACGGAGCTTCTTCCCCCGAGCTTTGGTCTCCCAATCCACGCCGCGAATGACACGCCAGGCCAGCGCACCAAGTCCCTTCCTTCTCACCCCAGAGAGGCGGAAGGAGCAGTGCAATGAGCGTCCAAATGAGGCGATCGTCACCCTTTCTCCTCCATACGCCTCGCTGGTTTCAGCAGTGTTCATGATGATGGCTGATGTGTTTTAAAAAGGAATAAAACCGCCGGAGAACCGAGCTATTCACTGGAAGGAGTGTCCGAAAATTTGAGTGAGCTGGATCGAAACTCCGGCTTTTAAGTGATGGAGTTAAGTTTCGTTTTCTTGTCTTTCATTTCTTTTCCTGTTCAAGGGACAAACGGATCGGATGATCTACAATTATGTAATGTAATTCGACATTCGTTTTAGTTGATGTGGGGAAATGTTATTATTGTTTGGGTAAAAATATTCTACAATATGATTTACATATTAAAAACTGCCTGGCCATTCCTCAGCTCACTATGCTTTTTAGCTTTTAAATAAAAACTGTAAAACAAAATGTAAAAGTGATTCATTAAAAGAATATTATGATTTCTATTTACATCATCAACTGCATTCAGCATCAATCTGTAGGTCTATATTTTCTGTCTATTGCCACTTTCAGACTTTTCAGTTTCTATTCTTATTTCCTGCAATTCATTTCATTGTCGCACTGTGTGTGCACAGGATGCTTCAGGTTTCCACATCACACTTGTGAAAGTTGCTGCTTGCAAACTGGTATGATGCATATGAAGTGTATGCATAGAAGAATCAGAGAGGAGGGTGAGATTATTTTGACCTGGCATTAGTGCTGGATGGTAACTGCACAGTCCTTACTTACATACCGTTTTAGGGTAGGACTATATTTTTCTTTAATAGTATTTAATGCAATATTGTTTATAGACAATTAACAATTAAAATGAGCACTCCATACAGTTCACAGAGACATATTGTTGTTAACAGCTGGGGGTTTTGTTACTTTGAAGATCAAGATTTTACAGAGGTCAGTTTGTATGATGCCTAAAATCATATACTAGTAAAATGTAGCTGCACTTTGACCAGGTACAACATCAACATGCAGCTTCATTTGACATAGCCACCCATAAAAAGTGATTCACAGTGACTGGCCTCTATTCTCGAGCCCCTTTGAATATGGTACTGAACTCTTAATCTCATATAGCAATTCGCACACACACGGATGATTGTGGGTCAATATAAGATTGCAGAAGTTCATTAGTTCAGGAGTTTTCCAAAAAGCTACTATTCGTTTACAGCAGACTCATATAACCCAACACTGTTACAAATACAATGTTCATTAAGTTCTAACTATTTAATATATATTTACCAATGTTAAATTTAAAGCTCAAGAGATGTTCAAGGTCTCAATCTCTTTTGAGTCACTTCTTATTGATGTATCAGGTAAAGACTGTAGTGATTGTTTAAATTGCCTAAAGAATTTTTGTACAATGTATAGAAATCATTGAAAATGACACCAGGTCACAAAAGGCCAATTTATTTCTGATTTAAATGAACACAGTTGCCTACAACTGCCACTGAAAACTTTTCAGTGGTAAATTTGGCACACAAATAATTGTTTTGTTTGCTGACAGCGCCTCCAACACGGAGCTCTTCCCCGAGCTTTGGTCTCCAATCACGGCGATAGCAGGCAGCGCCAAGTCCTTCTCTACACCCAGAGAGCGAAGAGAGTCAATGAGGTCAATGCAGGGACGCACCTTCTCCTCATACTGCTGGTTCAGAGTGTTCATGATGAGGACTTCTTGTCTCCTGCAGAGAAAGTGATAAAAGTGCTATTCACTATTCACAATTAGGGCCCCCTGTTGAGCCTGCAACAGCTTAGCACGGCTAAGTGATGGAGTTCGATGGAGTTTCTTTCCCCTTTGTGGGACTAACGGACAGGTTTTGTCCATGCTGAGTCTTCAACAGCTGGTACTAAATGGGGAAGGACCCCTAAAGTGCTTTGGTTTTCCAGATATCCCTACCAGAGGTAGAACAAAGTACAACAAAGTTTTTTATATTCTCTATAAGTCTCCCATATAGATATTGTGATCCTATAAAAAATAAGTGCCAAATAAAGCCAGGCTGAAAGAGATGATACACCTGAACACATTTAATTTCATAATGCAAGCTCTGTTTGATTACAAATGTAGGAAATGTAGTACTACAAATGCATCCCAATTCCTTGGTTTATAAATGAATGTAGCAGGTTTAGATGATGTGACATGTGTGACCTTAAACAATGTATACATGACACACTTGTATGAGCACCCTGTATATTCGAGGAGAATAATTTTAACAGTATTTAAAAAAAACAACTGACAACAATAAGGTTTTGTTGCCACACACGTTAATTCAAACATGAACTGTTTCTTTGGCCACTCAGGATGGCAAAAGAAGCTGATATGGTTAATGTATATAAACATATTTGCTGCTAAATGCTCTACTATGTTCACCAGCGGGTTTGTCTGTCCGCTGTTTGGTGCTGGGCCGGTAATGTACAGAGTGTTTATCTGCTGCTGCTGGAAACAGGTTGGATGAGACTAAGTTACACAACAGATATACAATTCAGTAACAGCTACTACTGTGCATTAATTTAGACAGAAATGCAAATTTTCATCTGTAGTCCCCGGGCAGGCAATAGTTGGTAACTGTCCTCTGTGAAGCCTTGCGTGGTGACCACACCCCTGAGGACAAAAAAAAGGAGTCGAAAATACTCTACAGCAGTCTGCTGTTGGCAGTAACATGGTTCCAGCCCTCATCTTCACTTGGAATAAATACAAAATGGAAAGTCACTACACCCAAACCACAATTTAATAAGTAGAGCCAAGCTTCCATAACTTTCATGTCTAGTTCAAGTCAGAAAATGAAATTGCAAAACTAATGTTTACATTGTCTCATACAAAGTATTTAAATGTTAAACTCTGCACATCTCCCCATCAAACACAAATTGTTATATTATAATTTCAGTTTGTTTAAAAATGTATTATGATCTGTATTATACTGTATTGTATGTATTATAACGTACTAATACAGTCTCTGACAATCCATGTTCTTCAGAAGGTGGATACACACAGTATTTAAACAATCAGAAGGGTTGAGTATAATCCATTTCATCCTCTTTGTGAATCTTTTGATGTGTGTTTAAGTTGCTCTTCCTTTTGAAGCTTTTCCCACACAACATGCACAGGTGAGATCTTTCCCCTGCATGCATCACCCTGTGAGCCTTCATATCGCCTTTTCTTTTGAAGCGGCGACCACAGACTTTGCACATTCTCATGACTTTCTCATGTGGAAAGTCAGAGTGATGCAGTGTACATTCTCATGTGCAAAGTCAAGGCTTCACTCTGTTTGAAGTTCATGCCACATTCCTTACGGTTTCTCTCCTGTGTGGATTCTCATGTAATCTTTCAAATGGCTCGACTCTTTAAAACGTTTTCCACGCATGGGACAAGTGTTTCTTCTCTCCCTGGTGATATCACTCAGGTATTCTTCCACTCCAATACAGTCTCCACCTTCACTGCACAACTTTTTTGGCCTGGTTCCTGTTGGTGTGAGCGCATTCACACATTCTCCATTCACCACACCTTCTGCATTCTCTCTGTATTTACTTTGATTTACAGAGTAGAAGGGCAGAAAAGCTCTGCAGCCTCCTCCTTCAGCGTCTTGTCTCTTTTCCTCTGCTGTGTAAAATGTTTGGCTGGTCACAGTCTGGTCGTGGTGGAGACCGGTAGAATTAGGCTCATCATAAACACACACAAACCTCTCTGACTGAGTAGGGAGTTTGTATTCATGGTTGGTCTCGTCCAGAGGACTAGATGATGTAAACTCTTTCACTTTGATCTGAGGGTGATCAGGGTCCTTGTGGTCCTGACAGGGGCTCCAGTCTTGTTCAGTGTGCTTCTGCTCAGGCCCACCGTGCTCAAGAGTGATTTCAAGCGGATCTACAAGGACAAAGGGGTGACAATGTACTAAATTTGCAACAAGCCTACATCTATACCTGCTTTAACATTTAGTTACTGTTATCTGCATGTTCGAACTAAAGCAAAGAACATCCATCCAGATACATCATCAACTGACCATGTAACATGAATGTAAATATCAACTGTATTATGAAATGATCCACTCTGATGCAGTTTGGTTGTTGCATTGTCAAATGGACATGTTGGATCTGTCAAACAGAATCAAAATATCAAAAAAAAGTAGAGGTGTGAGTGCGGTTCCTTTTGACTTTCTCCTTCCACAACCTGGGAAGACATGGCGTTATGATGCTGCTGGGGTGATCCCGGCTCACATGTGGAGCCCACTCCTCCCCATGGCAGCATTTAGAAATAGGCCTCTTATTACAGCAATGAGGACTGGTCTGATTGACTGCTGAAGGACATGAGAGTGCATAAAGGGGTGAGATTAGAGATTAAAAAAAACTTTAAACTCACTTTTAAATCTAAAATGTGTCATGTGGACATGTGCTTTTTAATTTTAAAGGTCAGATCTGAACCTGCTACATTTATTTATAAAACAGCAAAGCAGAGCAGTTTACTCATTTTTTTAAATGTATTACTCATTTCTCTTTTCAAAAGTAATGTTATTACTTTAGTTATTACTCTCCCTGCCAACAGTAATTACTTACATTACTAGTTATTACTTTTCTGCTACTCCCCACTAAATATCTCCCCAAAATTCAGACTTACGACAATTAAAATCCAGTTTTGTTTGTTAAAAATAAGGTTATGGAATATTTCCAGCTGCTGAATGTGAATGAATCCAAAGATGTGACTGGGTTGTTGGATTTCATATAACAAGTAGTTACACTACTAGTTACTGGGGAAAGTCATATTATTATTACTAATAATGAGTTACTGTCCAACACTGCTCATGAGAAATAGGATCATTTTACTGACAGACTGAAGGAAGCTGCAGCCTCATCATGGGAGCTACAATGCATCTTATAAAAGGCTGCAAAAGTCTGGTCTTTATTAGTGAGTGAAATACACACACCTGATTTCTGTAATCTGACTTCAGACCAGAGCACCAGGGTTCGCAAGTGATCTATCTCCTGCTTGGTTCTGCTTATTTCTCCCTGGTACTCTGGTAAAAGTGTTAAGACACCGGAGAGAGGCCATGGTGTGTGCTCGGATGCTGCTCTGACAGACACACAGTTTACTGTCAGTGGGAGTGTTCAGTGGGAGTGGACAGACAGACTGATGTCGCCTCCCGCTGGTCGGAGGGTGTCCACCTCTCTGGGTTCCCTTCAGGTGGTACAAGTGGAGAAAGCATGGGTGTATAAAGAGAGAGCTGTTAGCTACTATTAATACACCACCTTGCACTGTCAGGCTTTTGGTGGCTGTATAAACTCTCAAATTAAAGTCTTTACTTTGTTTGACATAACCTATGTCAGTAACATACTCCAAGTATCACAATATTAAAGTCATGTAACTTGATTACTTTCCATTACTTTTGAATTATCCCATCAATGTAATGGATTACAGTTACCTTTTTTGTATCCTGATTACATAACTCTGTTACATATGTAATCTGTTACTCCCCAAGCTTGACAGTAGGATTATTATTTTTAAACAACAAAGCTGTTTTTCTGAAAAAGGTCCACGTTTAGAGCTGTTCTGGAGATATTTCCACAATCCTCAAAGTCTTCTCAACATGTGAATGAAGTATTCTGTAAAATAAATGGTAAACGTCCTTAAAGGCTGTTCTTATTCAGTTGACCTGCTATCCTTACCTTTTGTCTCTCTTTCATCTGGCCCTCGAAGTTTATACTGATTAAATGTTCTGCTGTGTATATATTGAAATCAACATAATAAATTAATTTATAGTTAAATACTTTTAAATAAGGTAGCTTAATCCAAATGAATGAATTCAACTAGAGTCAAAGGAGTTTAGCTAGGAACTAAACTCAAATATGTTGTTATTTTGTTTTGGTAAGAACCTCATCAGTGTTGTTTGTGTTAACTGCTCCATGTACATGGATTTATTGAGTAATGTTCCTTCTATCCAGGGAGTGATCACTGCTGCTACATCCTTCTTTTAGCTTTCTTGCTCTAAAGGGAACAGCCACTACAGACTGAAAGAAATCCCGGTCCCACGGTATAGATGCACTGCTGCCACAAGATGGCCTCATTATTTCACTCTGGTTACTGGTTTCTGTTATCTTGTACAGTATACCACTCTTACTATTACTGCCACCACTGATAAAAATAATGACAGCTTTCATTTGTTTAGATCTTTGAACTGGTTATAAATTACAAACTGATTCTACACATAGGAAACACTATGTACTGTAGATCTTTGGGTGTATTGGTATGTCTCTGTATACAGTTTGTCAGTGAACAGTTTAGTTCAGTTTATCCATGTTTTTATGTATTTTACATGTTTCACATAATGTTAATCATCATTATTCGATCGATTTGCAAGTGGCTTAGTTCCCAAACAATTCAGTCTCAGGAGTAACTGCAAGATTATTGTCACACTCATGTTGCTATTTCCCACGACTGGTAAGTCATTCACCAGTGCGTAATGTTATTTTTTAGTGAGCGTATTCCTCAGGAATCTCGAGACAGCACATCTGACCTTTGTTAAACTAATAAATCAATCTGAAAAAACTGTGACAATACTTCTCATTCAAAGGCTTTAAAGAAAGGACATGCCACAACAAAACCTCTTAACTACATGCATTAGTTGGATAACGATGATCTGTGTACATATAGGCTTGTCTTGTCTGGATAATAAGAGCAAACAAACACTTCTCATTGTACCTGACAGACTGTCACTGGCCAGCAAACATTCCTCACAGACTATCTCTGTTTCTGTTAAAACCAAGAAAGCAGGTCAAAGGTCACGGGCCAACCACTTCTCCCCAAAGGGATTACAAAACATCAGGTATAATGCAACAACTCTTTTTTTCAGTTTCATGTACATTTTCACACAGATCAGATAAAGAGATCTGAGCAGACACATGGAGAACATTTAAGGGCCAATGTGTGCATCTTTATTAGGATGAATGCCTGCAAAATATCCACACTCATGAACTAATTGCAAGTGCCATTACACGGACCCATACACATGTATCATGGATGTTAGACTATTATACATACATGGGTGTTCAAACTGCTTTATTACACTGATGCAAGCCACATGCTGAGGAGGTCAAAAAAACAAGGTTGCACAAGTCATATTGATGTAAACAAACAGCAACCAAGAATTATCCTTTGAATATTACCATACAAACTGCACAGATGTTTTAAACTTGTACAAACCTGAATTGTTATAAAGTCAGCAAAAGCTCAATATTAGTTATGTACAGATGAGCCCAATATTCACTCATTCATTTATTATCACCGTGGTACTGATGTGCTTTTTTGCTGGGCTTTAGCAGTGTACATGGATACTCGGGACATGCTTTAGAGAGGTATAACTTCTGTTTACAATTCCCCAGTGGTGATAATGGTGTTGAAAACAGTCACAGTAATTTGTAGCAAGAGCAGCCACTTGTAAACATTGAAGGAGATCTCCCTCTGCATATGATTCAAATAAAAGTGTGATATCGCCTGCGCAGAATTAACTAATTAATAGAAACCATGGATACAGAAACAACATGCTGCAATGCATACTGTACGTTTTTCTTGCACAAACCCTGTGTAGTGTATTTTGCTGTATACATATTGATTTAAGTTTTTAGACTTTTTGACGCGATCAATGTCAGAATGGAATGTATTTGTACTTAACAAATATGCATTATACACTACATTATATTCTGAATCTGTATCCTAGAAATACCCATTATGAAAATATAGTTCCTGTTAGATTAAAAATTAATGCACATGTAATAATGCTGATCTAAATAAACTTTCAGTATTGACTCAGGGCAGTGTGAATTTTGTAAACTTTCAAAGATAAAATGTTTGTTTTTACTAGTTTAACAGAAATCATATTACTACACATAACGTAACATCATGCACATATTTGTCACCATTTTAGAAACTTGAAAATTATACAAAGACTTTTCCTTCCACAACAGTGCAACCAGTTTGAAAAGGACAACCAGTCGTAACAGTGAATGTCAATTACCAAGCAAGAGAGAGAGAAACTGTCACTTTCAAACTACAAGAAATACAACATTCAACAAACAACACCTCTGACAGAGAAGGAGTAAAAGACTATATTTAATAATTTTGTACAATACCCACCAATACATGTATCTACAATGGGTGTATTTTGACACCTTTGATGCCTTTTTTCCAATAATAATCTTTTTTTGATTTTTCACACAGATTGACAATTGATAACAAACTGAGCAGAAAGTGAAAGTGAATATTTAACCTCACCCTCATATCACCTACTGATTGCCCTGGTTAAAAATGCAGAAGTGCCTCACAAAACTGAAAAGGCATGACTACATTTGATTGGAGTAGGAAGTGGGCCCTCCCACCTGGCTGTACTCAGACGGCTGGCCAAGGTTTCCCTGGGTGTTGTAGCTTCCTGACTGGTCAAAGCTTCCCTGGTTGTAGGGCTGCTGGTTAAAGGTGCCGGCCTGTTTCTCAGATGACCCGCCTGCTAACCTTGAAGCGCCCTTGTGCCAACCGGTCTCCTTAAAGACAAACCAGATGTTCCCAGCCCATAGAACAAAGTTGAGAAATCCAAAAACCTGAGTGAAAGAAAAGAGAACAAGACAAAGTTGTCATGGTTTTGGCTTTACCTCTGTTATTTCCTGTTTTATTTTTAGTCTCTTGTTATCCTGCCCCTCACCTGTGTATTTAGTCTTTGTTTTCCCTTGTTTCTGTGTCAGTTCATCCTGAGGGCTGTACTACGAAGCAAGGTAATTTCTTCTGCATATACTTCAAAATCATCTTTGGACCTTTTCAACTCCTTTATGCTCCCTCAACTTTAAATTCACCTGACAATTCAACTGCTTTCACTGCTTAAACATCAAATGCCATTTTAACTGCATTCATCTCTTTCTCTTCAACTGACATTTTCACTCCTTTTACTAATCAGACACTCCAAACCCTTTCATGCTCTCACAATTTCCAGTGTTCTTACACAATTTACTCCAACTGGTTACACTTCAACTGACACTAGTTTCTTTAAGGACTTCTGCGTCAACTTAAACTTCCTGCTAACTTACAATTAAATACTGACACTTCCTTCAGTGCTTACATTAAATGTTCATTTCAACTTATTTTCTGTGTTTATATTTCGACTGACACTTTGACTGTTTCAGTATTTCAACTTCAATGTTTTAACTGTAAAATTTCAGCAGTGAACTAGTAAATTTTTTTTGGTAATATTTTTATTCATTTATCACACATCCTGTGAACCTACCACTGAAGTGTTGAGTCCGGACCAGCGTGGTCCATGCACAGAGCCACACTTGTTGATCTGGACTTTGCAGGCAGAGATGAGGAGCTGCACTTCATCTGGATCAGTGGCCACTTTCACATCAGACAGAGCCTTGGCCCAAGCAGAGGAACTCACCAGCCACATGAAGGAGAACACCACTGTCACTACAAAGTCCTGATGGCATGTAAGAGAAAAGAAACAAAGGGTATAGAAACATTTATCTCAGGAAACCATAACGTGACTTTCTCACTATTATGTAAGTAGTGGTTGAATGATAGTCCACTGTACTCACAATGAGCGGCCCTCTGTTATTTTCACGGTACTTGTTCTGAAAGAAGATGTAGACAATGGTGGCCATGAGGGAATACAGAAAGGCAAAGACTGCAATGGTGACGAAGAATTCTGCAGAGGATGAATAATCTCCAATGAGGAACACGCGCTCCCTCCTAATGCCCTCACACGCGGGCGCTTCAAAGGAAACCTGGTGCAACCTGATACACACAGAGGGAGATACAGGGGTCAACTCAAAATGATGTTTATAGCAGTGTTTTGACCCATACTTTTACCCAAGGAGGTCCTAGTAACTGATGATACAGTGATTTATTCTCAGAGTCTTTCCTGTCTTTAGTTTTGCTACTTTGTAACACCTAATGTCAGTGAGTACAATCTTATTTTTCTGACGCTCTTCTCCTACATCAGTCACAGCATTGACAAGATGTGATTCTGATATCCTCTAGTAATGTTAAGCAGTTTCAGGTGATAACAGTAAATTGATCATACAAATTCCTACTGAAAAGAAGTATATCCATTGCAGTTCTTAAATTTTCTTGTTTATTTTCTAGAACTGAAACCCCCCCCTACATTTTCTTATTTATTCCAAGTGCTAACACAGATAGTTTCAGTTTCAACTGCTGTTTTTAGTCCCACAGTCCCACACACACCTACACATGTTATTTTTGAATCCAATAACTTCCTACCTTATGTCACAGAGACCTGTGGATATCAGGCTACAGTATGTTACCAATCTGAAAGTAACCACATTGCTTTCAGATATATTTATGTTGTCTTGAAGGTCCAGTGTATTACATTTAGGTGGCTCTATTGGCAGAAATTAAATATAATATGTACAACTATGATTTCATTAGTGTACAATGACCTTAAAATAGGAATTGTGTTGTCTTTACCTTAGAATCAGCCTTTAATATATACAGATACCGCAGGTTTCCTTTCACGCAGACTGCCGTGTTGAACTACCATGTTTCTAGACAGAGCTGTTTGCGTTTTCTGTGCGTTGTAATAAGCTGTAAAACCTATGTCTACTCTGTCCTCATTGTCAAGTAGACGAATAGATGCTGAAAATTGACAGAAAACACTGAGAGCATTGACTATAGGTCCTTGTATTAGCAGCAGAGTAAACACAGGTTCACACTCCTGCCATCAAACTTTGAGACAGTGAGTGAATCCCACTCACCTGAACGGATAAGCAAAGTCAATGCCGATACTGAGGTTGCTGCTGGCCTTCTCCATGCAGTCCACACTAACCCGCAGCTGCCCAGAGTAGCCCCCACATGTTGCAAATGCAAAAATGGCAAACAGCTGCAACAAAAGAAATATGACAACAAAAATCAGATGCCTACTTTGAAAATGACCGATTGGCGAATAGTGAGTATCAGCAGCCTAACGATTTAAATATTTTGCTCATTTCAACAATTCCTTTGCTGTGAAGCCAATTGAACACCAACTGATAGCATTTTAGCCACATCAGCACATGGACTACAATAGCTGCAGTGAGTGTGTGGACAGAGCTGAATTAGGACAGACAGAGTCTCAGAGTCTGGAGGAAGAGATCCCTGTTTGTGCTCCCTTCACTGGGACCTGATGATGACTTCACCACTACAGTTATTTAACAAAAAAACAGATGTTCATATTCTTACTTATGCATTTGCCTTATTTAAAATAGGCCTCACATACAAGAAATTACTCCCCTTATAATATAAACACAGAGACAAAGGAGAGTCTAAACTCTGCACACTTTGTATGCATGTACATACTAACACAGCAGTGAGGGGAAAAAAGTCAAAAAAGTACATAACCACATAAAATATATAAAATGTCATCTGACAGATAAAACTGCATTACAATGTGGCAGATAAGTGTATAGGAGATTACAGTTAAAAAAGACATAATCCATTCTTTAACCTATATTAAGTAACAGTTTGGTTTATAATGCCATTATAACATTGATGACACAGCGATCAGGCAGAATGATCTGAATATTAAAAAACTATCAACAGTGTTCGTTTAAAACATCCACAATAAAAAAATATACTTGAACTTACCGGAGCAAATATAACCATACACATTGAAGAAGGAAAGATCTAATCCAGCTTTGTTATGCTACAGGGTTCCCAGAAGCTTTCTGATACTGAAAAAGAAGCTGCCAGAGGAAAAGCATGGCAATGTGTGTGTGTGCGTCTATGTGTGTGTGGTCATGTCTCGTCATTCTTCTACCATTCTGTCCTGCACCACTTCTGTGATTATTATGAGGTAAGAAAAAATGAATAGATGGGAAGGGAAAGAAAGAGGGATGAGCCTTGACGAGCGAAAGGCAGGGGGTTATTTAATTAAAGGTCCCCTGTGGAGGTTCTGGGCTGTTTTTCTGTTGTTTTTAAATATGTATTTTGGGCTTTTTATGCCTTTATTTGAAAGGACAGGTAAAGATTGACAGGAAAAGGGGGAGAGAGAGGAGGGATGACACGCAGAAAAGGGACACAGGTTGGAATCAAACCTGACAAAAGCAGAGTTTGTGGTTGTTGGAACAGTGAAAGGACTAACAAAGACTTTTGGTGAGTTTTATTTTGCTCCTGTCAATTTTTAATGGCGTTGCAATGATATGTGAGGTCACATTTTGGGCGAGTGATGGTGATTCTGGTTAAACAAAAGGTCTATCTCTGTAGGGATCCTTTCCAGTGTGTTTGGTGACTAACCCTGAATGTAATATAACTAAATATATATATTATATATATATATATATACTAAAAAGGCTTAATTCAGCCCTCTAAGCAGCATTTCAATCATCAGGTTGAGGTGAAGCTCATTTAATAGTGTTGGGTACCGTGTAATCTTTAACAGTCCATCATATGTTTTGTCTGTAAAATCATGACATTCACAGTAACTAGTAATAGCTGTTCCTTCTAAAATATAGTGGTATGAAAGATGTGGTGGTATAAAGTATAAAGTTGCAAAAAATGGAAACAAGTAAAGTACCTATACTTTACTTATGAAAAGTAAATGATTAAATGTCCTTTCCACCAACAATAAACATTATAAATTATATTACATGGTGAGAGAGACTAATACATTGAATCATTAATCCAATTAAGGGTTATATTCTGAAAAAATATAACAAGAAGCTCAAACGGTTTTACAGAACACATCGCTGACAGCAGACTAATTAAGCATCTGTTTGCTCAACATGCAGCTAACACATACAGTAGAATAATTAAAGCTTAATTTCAAAATTAATAAGGCTATGGCCCCATATTTTTAAAATAGATTAGTCATTTGATGCAATTTCTGAAGGTGATACAGGACTACACCCTTGCTGTTTACTCGTCTAATCTCTTTGTTAGTATTCCTCTCCTGCTATGTACCAATGCAATGTCACTGTGCTTGTGAAAATGACGTGAATGATTAATCACTCATCTCAGCTTGTAGAAAAACATGGCTGAGATGTATGACTGCAAAACACGAAGTGGTAAGTAGATTAATTATCAACCCAATATACAAACAGTCGCACTCATAGTGCCTTTATGTTTATAAAGTCAACTATTCTCTTTTTTTATATGGTACTTTTTAACTGTAACACACAGTTACAAAGTGCTTCACAAACAAACAAATATAAA